AAGCTCACCAGTTTTGCAACCAACGTTTCATGGTTTGATTCTTTGGCCTTGCTTTGTGACAAGCAACATACACATGCTCCATGGACACCGACGGTCGTTGCCGGCAAAGTTCATTACCCTACACATACTGAAGCTGCATATCCAGAAATTTTGTGCCAGCGTATTGTGTCAATTGTTTTGGACAAGGTGTTGGAACTTGGTGCCATCGAAACTGAAACGTTGGAAAAACATGTCAAAGCAGATGGCAAAAGTTTGAACCGAGTCGTGCTCGGTGCAATGCCTCGTGGGCGTCATGTCAAACCGCTGGTTTCAGAATTTGGTGAATATATCAATGTGATTTTGCCTTGTCAATGCGATTTGCAATTACAAAAATTCTTTGCCAGACTGCCTAAGGGATCAATCGTCCAGTCGCGGCATCTTACAACATGGGGGCAAGTGCGGGACGCTTTGGACAAACAAGTCAAAAAACGCTGTTTGCAACAGAAACTGCGAGCCCTGCAACAGCAGAATGAGAGAATGGATGATGACAATTCATTTGACATGGATGGTTTTTTGACACAATTGGGATGTGAGCCCAATTCCAATTACAAACTGTTTGTGGATGCCAACGAAATTGATTGTGAAAGAGTGGTTGTGGCAGTTCCCAGAGAGCCTCTCGACTTTGTGGCAAGAGCTGTTCAAGCAGGGCACCCTCGAAGTGTAGCAATCAACTTGCCGAATGATCTTTGCAAAACTGTTGACTGGAATCGAGAGGCGCCTGCATTTGATATATACAAACACAGGATCGAGTTTGTCAAGTTTTGGACTGAAAAGGCCAAAGAGCTGAAAGGAGATGATGCCAAAATGCTGGAAAAGGCACCACCTCACTTGAGGAAGTTGCTTTGTGGCAAACGCTTGGCGGTTTGGCAAGCCATGGCGGACCATTTCAACTACCCGGACAAGAACTTGGTGAGGGACATATTAAATGGCTTCAAAGTTACAGGTTGGCTTCCAGATTCGGAAGTATTTCCGAGAGAGTTCAGACCGCCGTCCATGGATGTCAGCACATTGGAGTCTTTGAGCAAAGGCTTGAACCAACATGTCAAAGCCAAGGTCATAGCTGCGGCTGGAGGTGAGCTTAGTGAAGCTACCTGGAGTGAGACTCAAAAGGAGTTGGACGAAGGTTGGATGGAGATTGACCAGGGCACGGGCGACAATGCAGCTTGGGCCATGAGATTCGGTCTGCAGCAGAAGGACAAAGTGAGAGTCATTGATGACTTTTCAGTGGCAGGCGTAAACCAAACGACAGGTTTACATGAACGTTTGAAAATTTTTGGAATCGATGACATAGCTGCTACGTTGGCATATTCAATGGATTCCTGCTGCCAAGAAAAGCACCCACGAATGCTTGGCAAAACCATTGATTTGAAAAGTGCATACAAGCAATTTGGAATTTGCAGCGATGACAGAGCGCGCATCAGAGTGGCTACCTCCAGTGCAGACACCAACGACTTCATACTGCTGATGGTCAACGCTCTTCCCTTTGGAGCCACAGGAAGTGTGGCAGCCTTTTTGAGAATTTCCATGTTCATTTGGTACATTGGTGTTGTTGGTCTGAGATTGGCTTGGACGTCATTTTACGACGATTACACATTATTGAGCAGAGCCGATTGTGCTCAAAATGCTTCGTGGGGAGCGGAATGCCTTTTTGATATCCTGGGAGTCGTTTTTGCGCGTGATGGGAAAAAGGCCACAGTTTTTGACCAGGTCTTCAGTTCGCTGGGAGTCAATTTCGACTTGAGAGAGATGTGCAATTTTTCTGTTCTCTTAGGCCACACAGAAAGCAGAAGGTTGGAACTGATTGACACCATTTCTGAAATTTTTCGTTGCGGAACCTTCACGGCCAAAGGTGTGGAAAGGTTAAGAGGACGTTTGTTGTGGTTTGAAAATTTTGTTTGTGGCAGACACGCCAATTTTCTTGTAGCTCGGCTTGGAAAATACATAAGAGCTGGCAAGGGTGACCTTCCTTTGAATGCTGAACTGAGAGTAACCTTGCAAAAGCTCATGATGAGGTTGGAAGCTGGCCGACCTGTTGAAATCACACAGAGACTTTTTTCAACGTGGCTTTGTTTTACGGACGGTGCCTGTGAACAGGAATGTTCTGTAGGTGGGGTGCTTGTGAGCCCACAAGGCACGGCTGTGATGGCGTTTGGATCCGTACTTCCTTCCGATTTTTCTCAACAGTTTTACCGTGAATCAAAGCACCCAATTTACGAAGTGGAGCTCCTACCCCTTCTCATCGCTCTTGCGTTATGGGGTGACATATTTGAAAAATGTCAAGTTGTCTTTTATGTGGACAATGACTCTGCGAGAGCTGGGTTGATCAAAGGGGCTGGAGCGACTAGCATGGCAGACGCCATCATAGAGTGCTTCTGTGCCCGTGAGTCAACCTTGCAACTGAAAACGTGGTTCAACAGAGTTCCTTCTCACAGCAACATCAGCGACGGGCCAAGCAGGTCAGACTTCAGCTTGGTCAAAAGATTGGGGTGCACCATTAACAACGTTCAATGGATTGAGATCCAATCAGAGGTCCTGTCACGCCTCAATGAAGTGGGGCTAGGGCGGGGCGTGGATGGATCGTCCCCAATGCTTTTGTGAGAAAAAAGGTGTGCTCTGTTTTTCCTCGTTCGACCTGTCGTTCAGTTGCATGTGATTTCAAAAAACACAGTTTTGTTTGAAATCAATTTTTAAAAATGTTTTTGAGCAATACAACGCGCGCGTTTTCAAGATACCAGTATTGAAGAGATGTACGTTAAGCGGTTCAATCTTTGGAAATAAGTCTTTTGTATTCATGTTCAAGAACTCAAAAGCTGGTCTCGCTTTCAAGTGCTGAAGCAGAAGTTTACGCTTGTTCCAGTGGCACTTCAGGTGGCATCCTCTTGTGCAGGCTGGTTGAATGGATGACAGGTTTCAAATGCAGCATCCACTTGCACTGCGATAGCTCAGCTGCAAGAGGAATCATACAACGCCAAGGTGTGGGACGGGTGAGACATTTGCCCTGCAGAGTTTTGTGGCTTCAGAGCCTTGTTGCCAATGGTGCCATAAAGCTTGCGTGTGTGGCTGGTGCAACAAACCCTGCAGACATAGGGACAAAGCGCTTGCCGTCCTCCAGACTGCGCTCACTGATGAGCATGTTGGGAATGTTCAACATGACCACTGGTTTGGTTGACGGATCTGATGACCCAGGACGCATTTACTCCAAGAAACAAAACATACATGCAATACTGAGCGTCTTGAGCCTCCTGACCCTCAAAGGTTGTGCTGAAGACGACGATTTGTCTTCAAGCCCTACAGTTGGACTTTTGGTATTTGCGCTTGTTTTCGGATTTTGCTGCACAGTGTTTTGGATGGTGGTGAATGGCATGCAGCGGAATCAGCAAGCACAAAATGAGCCCGATGCAGAACCCATGGTTAATGAAGAGAATGAGGTGGAACGCAATGTCGTCGCATACGTTCCACCAGTCTCGGTTGAGATGGAGCGCAATGTCGTCGCATACGTTCCATCATCCGAGATTGATGCAGCCCCACCAGCGCTTTCAGGTGGTTCTTCTTCAAGTGGAACAGCTTTGACAGCTGAAAACTATGTAGTGTGGTTGTTGGATAGGTGCTGCAGAAGGAGAGATCAAACAAGTGATGGAAATCGAAGAAGATTGTATGAAGAAAGGGTTACAATACTCCTTGGACCCAGGTCAGCTCTGACCTCACCTCATGCCTCTGTTCGCAGTTCAGCGAGGAGAGCCCTTGGATCCATGTCAGATATCAGCGATGATGAGGATTCCCCAAATTATGAGAGGATTCATGGACCAGCGAATTTGGGAGAAACTCAACCAGCTCTTGTATTCATCAATGCGCTCCAAAGTGGTTCTGCAAGCAGTACAGGCTTCAGCACCAATGTTGACATGGTCGCAAACGCCCTTGGGAGGAATATCAATTTCCGTCCTTCACCTACGTCAGAGTCAGGTGCTGATGAGACTCGATCTGAGGCCATGGAGCGATACATGAGCTCGAGAAGGAGTGATGTCTCAGATCCAAGCTTGTGGAATTACCTTCACTTTGGAGATGAAATTCCAGATGAGAGCGAAAGCAATGAAAGCAACGAAGCATAGCAGAACATGGACTTGGTAGATGTTCGATGAAAGTTGAAGTGGTTTCTCAGCCAGCAATGCTGAGGAGCAGCTCATTCAGGCTTTAGCCAGGGGATAACATGGATCCCTGTTAGCCTTTTCTGAGAGTCGACATTTACCATGAGAAAATTAGAGTGTTTCATGGTGTTGCATCATGCAAGCCCTCAAAGGGCAGTGCAAATAGTGGCATCCGAAAGAGGACCCCCGCGGCATATGCATGTTTGCAACTTTTCCAATCAATTTCTAGTGAGTTGCGACACAAGCCAAAAGGCTGCGTCGAGGCGGGGTGCTTGTGATTTACGTGTCTTGCATCCCCTTTTATATACATGTCCAGTTAGCAGTCATGTTGAGTTTTCATGTTGTGCAACACGCACAAATCGAGAAGTGCATTCCAAGACGCTTTTGCATCAAGCAAAACAATCATTTTTGCATTACATGCTGCATTTTGTCCAGATTCAAAATTTCTAAGATAAACCCACAAGGCGCCGACACAAAGTCAACCATGTCCTGATGAAAACCAACACAGTTTCTCTTGCGGCGATTTGGCACATGCAATAACTCAAAAAAATCGTTGTTTTTGCGAGACGGAGTGTGAAACAAAACATAATCTTCATGTTACGCAACGACACCACGTAGTTGTTTGTTTCTGCTCTCTTTAGACGCTTGGCATTCAAAACAAATGACCAGAACGGTACAATATTTTTTGAGGGCCAACTCAACAAATTGGCACAAAATAATTGTTTTTTTGATGTTTAGGCCGATGGTTTGTGGCACCCATGTGCTCACAACATGGAACAAAATCAATGGTCAATGTTATTCTGCTCAAGCCACATGTCACAAAATTGTTGCAAGAAGAAGCAACGCCAAGGCCAGTTGAATGCCGTTTTTGTGGGTGACTGGACATCCATCTGAACGCATTTCCAACACGCAATTCTTTCTTGAAATACGGATGGTTTGCTGTGCCATTGAGTGTGGTTGAGATTGGATTAAACCACCATTTTTTCCATGGAAATATGAAAGTTCAGTCTTGGGGTTGTTGAAAACTGTTCAACATTTTCCAAATCTCACCATGCTGGAATGGTTTCTCCGCTACAGGTGGCGTAGTGGCAAGCCAGCAGATGGGTGTAGCCACATGGCATTGGCCAAGTTCAGTGAGGCCGTCGCCAGATTCCTTTCGTGTTTACACATTGCCGATTTCATCATTTCCAGACTCCACATTTTGGTCTGCAGAAATTGGTTGAGTCAATCGCTTGCATTCGTATTCATTGTTTCAGAACAAAATGATGTGTTCACCCACATGAACATGTTTGTGATGGCCTCCATGGTTTTGTCCAAAAATACCACACACCTGAATCCATTGATTTTATATCATCATTTCAGCCTTTCAATTGGTGGGAAAGAAACATGTCGTGCGGGTTGTAGGACCTGGCAAAAGCTTTGAAGGAGCAGGGCACTCCAGTGGTCTGCCCACCATGCGTTGGTTCATGGTTTTGGACCCAGAAATGGTTTGGTTTGAAAATCTAGGGTAGTACACCTACATATATATACATATATGTATATATATATATAATCCAATTATTGATTAACAATTTTGGCGTATGCCAAACTTTTTTGCAAATCCAGATGGGGCCAATTTACCACGTTTTGCCCGGCATTGTGACATTGTGATGAACTTCCATAGATTCAAGAGTCCTTGGACCGCGAAGGGCAATGAACGCCATGACTTTGGCCCAATCATGACAGCTCTCCCATGTTGGTTAGAGATTCGCCATTTTTTTTTGCCGGACAATTTCCTGAACAATTGGGAAACCATGAGAAACCAAAAAAATAATCACATGTAATAACCCCCTAGATCCAATATATCCAATTGCCCCGATGATTTTGACGGGACAGAGTGTTCGCCACGTGCCAGGAATCGGCACTGGTGAGTCCTGAAGATACACCCGTGGCCAAGACTGGTGAAGGCGGTTGGATTTTCGAGCTGAGCAGTTTTTGAAGGCGTTTTTCAACATGTTGAAACCAGCCAGTGCAGGGTTTCAGGCTGGTTCCAAACATATCCAAGTATATATTGTTCACTTGTAGTCATTGTAGTCCATCGAACCAACTTTTAGATTCTAATTTGTGGCTTTGTTTGAGGGCGCGAGTTGAATTGAATCTGCGAATGCATTTTTGTGGAGTCTTGGCGCTCCACACCATTTTCCCTCCTGAATTTTAAGTACCATATATGCCATATATATATATATACAGTATTTATTTATTTATTTATTTAATTAATTTTATTTATTTATTTATTTATTTATTTATTGAAAAAACACATAGACAGAGTCTAGTCGTCACACCAACGTTCAGGGCCCTCGAACTTTGGTTTCTGGGCACACTTGGGCTTGCCGGGTTCCCTAGGTCGATTCGGTCGATTGAGAGAAGCTGAAACGGCGATGTCAAATTCATTTTTTCATGAGAAAGTCATTTTCCAGGTTGTTTACAACCAGTATGCTTCGATTCAATCCCACCATCTTGCTGGAGAACATCACCATTGACCTGGCTCAAGGTCCAGCGCTTCGAGTTCTTCCACTGGAAGCCCCCCATCGCCCAGGCGTTGCAAAATGAGGATAGCCGGATAGCCTCAAATGGTCATTTCCATGGGGGATGAGGAAACCTCAAGTTTTGTTGCCACATCCAGAAAAACCGATTCAATCATCAGATGGAGACCTCACCAGTGCAACTCTATAGTGATACAACGATAGAAAAAAAAAACAAATGGGCATTTTTTGGCCACGGGACCACAGCAAACCCTGTTTGGTACCTAATGAGGTGAGCCATACCCATCCCGAATGGTATGATGGCAACAATCAGAATGACATTTGATTGTTACTCATTAAGAACAGTCATAGGCTATGATTGCCGATTGACTTGTCATTGATGCTGTGGCCTTTTGGTGGTGGACGCCTGATTCTTGATCATGTTGTTTTGATCGCGGAGTTCCCATGTTTTGGAAGTTGGTCCGCGCACCTGTCCCAGGGCCGTTGTTGTTGTTGTTGTTGTTGTCGCCGTCAGGTGTTTCCAATTTTTTCGACCCAAACATTTGACATGAACATCTCCAGGGAAGCCGAACGGTCCGGAAGGTCATGGGAAACTGGAGGCCAGGATGAGACCGCAGTGGATGGCGTTTTCATCGTCAATGCTCTCGGGGAGAAACAAATCATCAGTGATGTTAGTAAAGCAATCATACACCACCCATATGGATTTATGGCTTATACATGTTTATACATGTTTATACCACCCATTTATGGTAAACCTCATTCTTACAAAGACAACTTGTTTCATGGTGATCCTGGATACCCATTTGGATTTTCATCCACTTTCCGTAGAGGTTCCCGTACCCATTTCTTCCATGATTCCTTGGTTCAGAAAACTGGGAAACACATAATACATATATATATATATTTATATTCATATGAACATATGTTTTTTGGTTCTATAATTCTTGTTGGGTCCCTGGTTTTGTTCCATAATTCCATATCCAACATCTTGTTCTACAATTGATTTGTGTGTTCTACAATAACATTTTCTTGTGGGTCGCTGCAAGATTAAATTATATATAATTACATATGTACCCCAAAACTCCCACAATGACATGCCGCTGGTTTCAAGAACACAACACCCCAGCCCCAAAGCCAGGTGATAACAACCGCCGACAGAACTATAGAACAGATATGACACACACAAATTACTTCTAGAACAGTAAAGTTACGATCAAATTCCACCATTTGCCCCGCTTCTGGAAGAGTTCGACGGGATCATCATCATCATCATCATCATCATCATCATAATCATCATCATCATCATCATCATCATCACCATCACCATCACCATCACCATCATTAGCATCATCATCATCATCATCATCATCATCATCATCAACAACAACAAGAGCAACAACAACATCATCACTGGTATGATCATCGTCGTCTTCTAACAGAATAGTGGAAATCGGTTTAAAATGCGCTGTTCCAGCACTTTTGGTTGCACATCCGCCTAACAAACCGGTGTAAAACGCACAGTTCCAGCAGACTTGTTAGAACGAACAGAATCCTAGCAAATTGCTGCAAAAAGCACCCACCCCACTCCACCTTAAACCATGATAATGAGATCATCTTGGGCGCAGCATCAACATCTTGCGCAAGGTCGTATGAGCGTTATCATCGCCCCATCCCACCCCACCCCACTGATGCAGCATCAAAGTCTTCTGCAAAGTCGGGTGAACGTTAGCATCCCCCCACCCCACCCTATGTGAGCGTAGCATCAACATCTTGTGCAAGGTCGAGGGAACGTGGTCGAAGGAACGTTAACATCCCCACCCCACCCCATGTGAGCGTAGCATCAACACCTTGTGCATGGTCGAGGGAACATGGTCGAGGGAACGTTAACATCCCCACCCCATTCCATTCCACCCCACCCCATCCTACCCCATGTAAACTGTGGGGCAAATGGTGTTGCATCTAAAGTTACCATACCAAAGTTGTGCACAAAACTCTCGAAAAAAAAAACGGAACCTACCATATTTCCATCATGTGGTAAACCTAATGTCAAAAAGCATCCCTACTATGACCATAAATGGGTGGTATCCCCAAATGGAAGCTTTATGGCCCATGGCTTTTCCCCTCCCGCAACCGCGCCTTTGAGACGAAGCCCCTCGCTTTCTCTTCGGTAGCGCATGTCAGTGCCCAGAGGGGAGTCAGATGGTCCCGTGTTTCACTAGGGAAAATCTGGCTGGGAAAACTGGTTCCGTAGATAGCCCGTAGATATGTCCCGAAATTTTGTACACACCCCAAGCTTCAAGATGCGAAACATGTGCTTTTATCACTTCAGATGGTGACTGTGCACAGTGCATCCTGTCCAATTTGGCCATGATCCGTGGAGACCCCAACGAACTGTGACACTATGGTTTTGAGCTGCTAAAAATGGAATGTAGGTCTGTCTGAAAATATGGTACACCCAAATTTTGATGAGTTTACCATCATTATTTTTCCATGGTTTCCCAAAATGGCAATGTCTTAGAGTGACCACCCAGCATTTTCATAGAGAAAATCCCGTATTGCCGATCTAAGGTCTACGGCCTCATACAGAGGGCAGCTGGGCTCCCATCGGACACATGCCAAGATTTTGTTGGTTAAAATCCGACATTCGCTAGAAAAAGAACAGACTGCCTTGGTGAAAATCCAGCCCGTTGCTGGTTGAAGCACTTCGACCAATAAGACGCCATGTTTCGTTGTTTCAAATTCCCCCAAACAAATTGCCCAGGTCTAGGCTCGAGAACCCTTGAAGAGCGGGTGCGGATCTCGGTCCCTGTTGCGAAGTTCGGACACCAATTTTCTGGTGGAAGATAAGTACCTTGAAAAATGCAGTGATGAAGTTACACAGTATACATATACAGATGCAGTATACATAAGTAGATATATAATGATATATAATGATATACAATGATATATAATGATATACAATGATATATAATGATATATATAATGATATATATATATGAAATGATGTATATATATAATGATATATAGATATATAATGATATATATATATACATAATGATATATATATATATAATGATATATATATATATAGTGATGTATATAATGATATATATAATGATATATATAATGAAATATATAATGATATTTATAATGATATATATAATGATATATATATATATAATGATGTATATAATGATATATATAATGATATATATAATGATATATACGTATAAATATATATAATGATATATATATATAATGATATATATATAATGATATATATATATATATAATGATATATATAATGAAATATATAATGATATTTATAATGATATTTATAATGATATATATAATGATATATATAATGATATATATAATGATATATATAATGATATATATATATATATAATGATATATATAATGATATATATATATAATGAGATATATATATAATGATATATATATATATAATGATATATATATAATGATATATATATAATGATATATATATATAATGATATATATATATAATGATATATATAATGAAATATATAATGATATTTATAATGATATTTATAATGATATATATAATGATATATATAATGATATATATATAGTGATATATATAGTGATATATATATATAATGATATATAATGATATATAAAATGATATATAATGATATATAATGAAATTTATAATGATATATAATGATATATACACATGTTGTTTGTGCTTGTATGTATAGGGATGAAATATCACTGAGCTAAGGTGAAAAGCTCTATGTGTCGGAAATCTGCAGGGGTGGTTGATCACCAAGTGGGTTTGTCCCAACATGGGGTATACCCCAAAATGATAATTCTTATCCAGTGGATTTTAGGGGCACTTCATTGTTGGACCAAGCCAATTTTTGATTCAATTTCGCCAATGGAAACATCTTCCAGGATGTTGTAGACGTTATTGCCCAGGTTTCCAGTGTTTCTATCTTTCTATGGTTGATTTCGTGGCAGCACCGCCTTAGGTGGAATCTGGAAGACGTTTGAAGGCCGCCGTGGCTGCAATGAAGGCCAAAGAGCTACCTTCAGGTGGGGTGATGGTTACGACGTGGCATCCAAGTGGAATTTTTCTAGGGCCGATGCGAACCACTTTTGTGTCAGTGGGAACCAGGGTTGGCACCACAAAGTGAGAATGATTAGGGTAGACCACGCTGCCCAGGCGAGACCAGCACACAGCGCTCGGATGCGGTGACTCAGCTGATCCATGGCGCGTTGGGGCCCGTCATCTCTGCCGATATGTGGAGATCCCTGTTTTTTTACTGCTTGAAAAGTATATATCTTTAAATCCCCTTTACCAAGCAGGAGCATGAACCATCTCACCTAAAACTTGGTACCAAGGGTATGAGCATTGAAGGAGACGAAAGATGGGCGGCTTTGAAGCAATGACCAAGTCGAGATGTGAGGAACAGCATGGAAATATGAACCCTTCCATTGAACATTTCCGAATAAAACCTACCCCACCATTTTTTTTTGAGAAAAAATGGGATGGATCAACACCCAAAGCACATCTTCCTGCGAAGTGAAGATGAACCAATTTAGCTAAGACCTGGGAAGAACCGTCAACGTCAACCCCCCGTCCCAAGCGCCACGACTCTCGCCGTTCAGAAATGATGGTCTTTCTGGAACTTTTCTGAGATTTCACCACAATTCTTGGTTAGTAATAGTGATTACTAATGGGGTTGAACACCAGCAATGGTGGATAAACAATGGATACTTGTAATGTTGTAATAAACAATTAACCAAGGCCTGATGAATCTTTATTAACCATCACTATCCAGAATTCACCATTACAAAGCATTATAAAGCTTTATAGACCACCATTATCATGGGTCAGCATTAAGTTCACTTAATGACCATGATTTACATTGATTTACATTGATTTACATTGATTTACATTGATTTACATTGATTTACATTGATTTACCATTCCCAATGACCAGCATTGACCAACCATGATCAAACTTTAACCAACCAACATCAATCCCCATTTCTTCCCGATCAAACTGAGGCCTCATCGCTGATGCGTAGCGCCGCAGCGGCGGTCTCCAGTCAGATCCTGAGGAAACACGGTTTCATCGAAACTCGTGGTGGTTTTAACAATCAAGAAATGGTGGGATTTCATGGGATTTAATATGATTTACTGTGATTTAATGGGATTTTATATGGTTTTGTTGAATGGGATTTCACCATGGCATACCGGACATCTCCAAACTTACTTTGGAGGTTTATAAAAATGGTGGATTTTCCTGCCGCAGTGACTCAGAAAATAGATGAAAATAGGCAGTTCTCCGTATGAACCTTCCATTTGGGGGGATCATTTGGAACACCCAAACACTCCCAATTCTGTTGGAATCCTTTCTGGCAAGGCGATGGAACGTCATCCAAAATTGCGATTTTCGTGTTTTTTTGGTGGGTAATCCCACTTGATGAAAGTGAAAAGTGGGTAAATGAATTAGAAATAGGTGAAATATGATAAAATATGGTGAAATTGCTGTCTTTTGAAACCAGACGTGTCTTTGACCATTTTTGAGGCACAGAACTGCCAATTGATGATCACTCAGCAAGAAAATACCCGAGGTCCGAGCAAAGGTAGAACTGGATTGCCGGAGGCTGTGCTGTGAAGAAAAGGGCCCCTTGCGCATTTGGGTATGAGTCAAAACCTATGACTTTCCTCATTGAAAACACGTTTTTCTTGGGTGAACATCCATTTCTACCACTGATTTTAGTCAAAACGAGGGTAACAGGCTGCACTGACCATAGGTGTTTTCCGGAAACCGGCTCGAGACGCTGCCAGCCTGCTGAAATCACCTCTTCCTGGCCAGGTTGCAGATCTGAGTCATGCTGAAATGGCACCAGGTTGAATCAGTTGGAACTTCCTGAGTTTGGACTCCCTAGGACTCGGGACAAGACCGACAGCCCGGGACTGAAGCTGGGTTGCACTGCCCAGGACTTGGTTCGAGACGCTTGAATTTTTCACAACATCTACTGTGGGGCCCGAAACAAAATGGAAACAGCAAGTACGGGTGATTCAAGCAAAGAACCAAAAAAGAGCTCACAGAAAATTTGCTGATCTTGTGGTCTCCCACTGCAATGCAGTGCCACCTAACTTCATGTTTTTGAGTCCCTCGCGGTCTCGTGCTGAAGTGCCAGAAGTCGCACGAGCAGTGCGGGAGCTGGGGCCTGAGTCCAATCACTGTGAGATGTGGAACCGGACGACTTAACCGGGAGCCAACAAAGAGCGGACTATTTTCAATCAAACTAGACATAGCATGACATAGCGTAATTGTTGCAAACAAGTAAACGTTCGTAGACTTGAATTGGTTGAAGCGCAGATTTGCAGGAAAACACGATATTTCATGGGTAAATCCATGGTTTCCTGTTTTTGCTTCAACCAGTCCATTGAAGGATGATGTAATTTTCAACGCTACAAATCAGGAATAAATCAACAAACTTGCTGGATTTGATTAGCAACATAGGATGTATGTAACACGCATCTCATTGATTGTTAGCCAATGATTGCATAACGAACTAAGACACATGGACAAGAAACCGTTGGCCGCATTTCGCAAAAACGACCTTTCCTGAAGCCCTATCCTCCAATGTTGTCGGATTTTTGTAGCTACAATTGTTGGAAGTTTGGAGACCTCATGTAAGAACCTTGTTTGGACCCACAATTTCAACGGTTTCCTGGTCTAGTAAGGCGCTACCGGAAACGCATGATTGGTACAAATGGGAGGCTGACCCCCAGCGGACTTTTGCACAACTAAATATATTCCCATGTTCGGTTGGTTACGGCATACATCATTGTTAGAATCCCCAATTTGAGAGGTTGAAATAGAAACTACCGATCAGCTTTCGTTGGCAAAAGACAGCACGGTGACTTGACGCTTCCGGCCTCTCCGCGGATCCGAAAATCTTCTCCAGCGCCAGTGGGGCACCCGCCAATCGGGTGCGTGCACCACTGGCACTCGAACGGAAGCAGAGATATGCGATGCATGTGGTGATATGGGGATGGGTACCTATGGGACCTTTATATAACTAAGTGACTAAGTGCAAACTCAGATCATATTTGGCTTTCCAGCCACAAAAGTACGTAGATGTGAGGGGTTGCATTCCCCTAGCCCATCTCCGCAGAACACGCCGGCGTCCCATCGGGATGCGTTGAAGTCTTGCCAGGGGGAGAAGGATTTGGAGCCCCAGATTTCCCAAATGATGGGTGAGATTTGCTCGATGTTTGCCCGAAATGCTGTGTATACTTTTTTCTATGTCCCAAGAATTGTGGCGAATTGCGTTGCAATGGGTTGGCAGAGAGGCTTTCTTTTTTGTTGTCACCCCTGGTGGACCGTCTTTGAGCAAGCTGCGGAGTGTCTAAAGTTGGGAGACGGTTGTCTACTGTCTGCGACCGAACGGGTCCTCATGGGGGTTTTCAGGCGAACAGGTGTTTGCTTCACAGGGATGATCTTTTTAAAAAGAGGTTTCTGATGCATCGTGATTCTTTTCAGGGATTGTTGGATAGTCACTATAGTCACTTAACGGTTAGTCACTTCATGCTGCAATGTCATCCTGCTGTTCAAAGGTTGCATCTACCCGGAAAGTTGCTGCACGAGAACGCGTCTCCGAGCTTCAGACAGTGGCATGTACAGTGCTTCTGATGTCTTTGTTTCGGAAAATCTCTGCTTCACAACGTGAACAAAACCCCGATTCAAAGCGCAGCTTTTGGGTGTTGGATTGGTCCAAATTTCTGCGAAATCCGTGCTGATCCAGTCTTCTAGGGTTTTGTTTTTTTTTGGGGCAAACAGGATGACCTGGAACCCCCATTAACCCCGATAAAACCCTATCTACTACTGTAAACTGTAAACCCCATTAAAACGGAAAAGCGAAGACTTGCAGCTTTGGCTTGTCCATATGTGAAGAGATTAAGCACAGGGCGGATGGCAAACATGACTCAGCACTGGACTCTACTGGTATTAGAAAAATTGCACCCCAACCATGTACCACACATATCCTTGCAACATGCTCTGAACAAGCACCATTTTCAACTGGGATAGCAACAATGTGCCAAGTGATTTGGATTGGCCCTCAGTAGACCGTTGACCAACTCCGTGCAATGGCGGCGACTGTGGATCCAGTGGTTGATGTCCTTGAAGAGGGCAAGCATCCACTTGACTCGTTGTTTCGACCCAAACGGGTCGCAGTAGTGGGCGCCACCGACAAAGAAGGCAGCGTGGGTCGAACGTTGCTGAAGAATCTCATCAGCAACCCTTTCGGTGGGGTGGTCTATCCAGTGAACCCCAAGCGCGAACACGTCCTAGGCATCCTGGCCTTCCGGTCCATTGCGGCCTGCCCGGGTCATGTTGACCTGGTCATTGTGGTGACCCCCGCCGCAACTGTGCCGGGAGTGATCCAGGATTGCGTGGATCAGGGGGTTAAGAATGCCATCATCATCTCGGCAGGTTTCAAGGAGGTGGGTCCGGAAGGTGAGAAGTTGGAACTGGAAGTGCAGCGCATCGCCACCAAGGGCAACCTCCGAATTGTGGGGCCCAACTGTTTGGGCATCATCTGCCCCACGTCAGGACTGAATGCCTCCTTTGCCAATCTGATGCCTCAGAAGGGCAGTGTGGCCTTCATCAGCCAGAGCGGTGCCATGATCACTTCGGTCTTGGATTGGAGCGTGTCCCAAAAGGTGGGCTTCAGTGCGGTGATCAGCATCGGTTCCATGTTGGATATGGACTTCAGCAGCATGATCTTCTACTTGGCAAAGGACTCGGCCACCAAAAGCATCGTGCTCTACATGGAGTCCATCGGCAATGCCCGGAACTTCCTCTCCGCGGCGCGGGAGTGTTCCCTGACCAAGCCCATCATCGTCATTAAGGGCGGCCGCACCGATGCTGCCGCCAAGGCGGCAGCCTCCCATACCGGATCCCTCACGGGCAGCGATGCGGTGCTGGATGCGGCCTTCAAAAGGGCAGGAGTGTCCCGGCCATTTGGGTTGAAATGGGTTGAAGCTGAGTCGGGGATTTTTCTTCTTCGCAAGGGGAAATCCACCATTTGAGGATAAATTGAGGAACATACTTGAATTTTCTGCCACACATGTTGTTTTTGAGCCCCAAAAAAAACCTGACCTGCCAAGGTTTTGCGCGTGGATTCCATGTCGGATCTCTTTGAGATGGCGGACGTCTTATCCAAACAGCCCTTGCCCAACGGGAACCGCCTGGCCATTTTGACCAACGCCGGAGGCCCTGGAGTGTTGGCCACGGATGCCCTGGCCAGCCACGGTGGGGTGGTGGCCGAGCTGTCCCCCAAGACAGTGCAGGACCTGAGTGGCGTGCTCCCAGCAGCCTGGAGCCATGGGAATCCCATTGATGTCTTGGGAGATGCCACGGCCAAACACTATGCAGATAGCTTGGAGATTGTGGCCAAGGCTGAGGGGGTCAAACGCGTTCGTGATGCGTTTGTGATGGAAAGATATGGAAAGAATTGGGGTTGGAGATTGCTGGCAAAAGCTTTTGGATCAAAACTTGGACGCAAAGTAAAAGTCTTTTTTGCTGGAAATCCCGCCATCCAAAGGTCAGACGAAGATGCTGCTGGGTTCGAGTTCACATTTCGTATTTTTCGAAGACCGAATGTTCTCAGAAAAGAATGATGCACACTTCCCATTCGGTCTTTTCTGAGAAAATCATCAAAAATAAAAGTCTTGTTCTTGATTTTCCCATTTGTTTTGTTGATTTTTCCCATTCAAAAAAAAAAAACACAAAATCACCCAACTCTGAGAGGACCCCAACTGCGATGGTTTCCTGGTGATTTTGACGCCTCAAGCGATGACGGCCCCCACGGACTGCGCGGTGGCTTTGACGAAATATGCCAAGATCCAAGGCTCGGATGATCCCAGTCCCACGGGTCCCACGGGTCCCACTTCACCTGGGATTTTACCAGCCAACTTTGGTTCGTTCTGATAGGAATTTCTTCATGTTTGGTTTAAAAAAAAATCGCGCCTATGCCAGGCCTAAGCAATGATGGGAGAATTGGGACCCAATTTCACGAGTCATGAAGGTGGTTTCAGGGTTGAGGGTTTTCAACTAGCAAAGATGGTGGCACAAGATACCTTTGGTATCCTTTGGTCATATGGCTTTGACACAACAGGTATGATACAATCAATGCTGAGGACATGGGCTTTGGCTATCCTTGGTACGCAGCCAGTTACATCAGGAATTGATGTGCCGCAGTGAAAACGGGGTGTTTCTCAATCTCCCCGCTTTCACCTGTTTGTAACAGTAGGAGGGATTTCCCTACTCTCCACAGCCCTATTAAATAGATCATTGATCCGCCAATGATCAAAAAATATGTTTACAATTGGAATCCACCTGTCCAAATCTATGGTTTTTCATGTTTTTTCCATACATTTCCCTGGAAATGTACTTGGAAATGGTCCTCGAGGCAAACCGGTGCTGGCAAGTTGGATGGGCGGCCCCGATGTGGCACCGGGGGCAAAGGTGCTGAATGATGCGGGCATCCCCACCTATGCCTATCCTGATATGGCACCTTGACGGTCCTCGTAGATCGCGTAGTTTTGGTAGCTGCGCCCCTTTGGTTTTGGTAAGATCTTCTAGATCTTGGGGTTAGGGAGACCATGGGAGACCTAGAATTTGGACTTTGCAGTCAGGGTTGATTCTCTTCTTTTTCTTGAATGGCAGCTCAACTGTTGTCCATGTTTGTGAAGCATTCTGGTTTTACCGCTGTGACCATACTTGAATTTTACTGGGCACAGCCGGCACAGCACCATGTCTTGATGTTCTTTCACAGCAAGGCTTGTCGAACCTTCAACTACATGCACCAGTACCAGACAAATTTGGATAGCAACTACGACCGCATCGACTTGAAAGTGGACTTGGAAGCTGTCCAGGCAAGACCTTTGCAGATGCAATGACCACAACCAAATCACAAAGTGGCCAATTTTCATTTCAAAGAGGGAAACTTCGTTTTTGAACATTTGAGGTTACACTTCAAAGTGCCATCTATAAAATTTTCCGAAACTTGGGATTTCCAATGGGTTTTTCCCCCTTTTTCCTAAACATCGCTGGGTTTTCTCCCGTTTTTTTCGTTCAAAAATCGTTGCTGACCGAGGCCGGGAAGCTCCAGGCGCAGAAGCTCATCGCATCGGTGCGTGCCAGCGGCCGGTCGCTGCTGACCGAGGCAGAATCCAAGCTGCTGCTGAAGGCGCGGTAGGCGGAGGTTGGGTGGATTGGTTGGTTATATAAATGATATTGTATCATAGTGATATGTATATATATATCTTATATATTATCTTATATATTATATTATTATATTATCTTATATATTATATTATTATATTATCTTATATATATATTATAATTATATTATATTATATTATATCATATTATATTATATATTATATGATATATTATATTATATATTATATTATATTATATATTATATTATATATTATATTATATTCCCTCTCTCTCCCTTCTCTTCTCTCCTCTCTTATCTTCCCCCCCCCACCATCTTCCTATCTTCCCTTTTCTTCTCTTCTCTCTTCTCTCTTCTCTCTTCTCTCTTCTCCCTTCTCTCTTCTCTCTTCTCTCTTCTCTCTTCTCTCTTCTCTCTTCTCTCTTCTCTCTTCTCTCTTCTTTCTTCTCTCTTCTCTCTTCTCTCTTCTCTCTTCTCGTCTCTTCTCTTCTCTCTTCCTCTCTCTTCTCTCTTATCTTCTCTCTTCTCTTCGCTTCTCTCTTCTCTTCTCTTCTCTCTTCTCTTCTCTTCTCTTCTCTTCTCTCTTCTCTCTTCTCTCTTCTCTCTTCTCTCTTCTCTCTTCTCTCTTCTCTCTTCTCTCTTCTCTCTTCTCTCTTCTCTCTTCTCTCTTCTATCTTCTCTCTTCTCTCTTCTCTCTTCTCTCTTCTCTCTTCTCTCTTCTCTCTTCTCTCTTCTCTCTTCTCTTCTGTCTTCTCTCTTCTGTCTTCTCTCTTCTGTCTTCTCTCTTCTCTCCTCTCTTCTCTTCTCTCTTCTCTTCTCTTTTATCTTCTCTCTTCTCTTCTCTCTTC